TGAAAGAGCACTGTTGCATAAGGCACAGGACAGCCACATGTGCCCAGCCGGCTCCTTTATCTTTCTGCTAAGAAACCAGAAAACACAGAGAAATGACATCGTAATGCAAGGGGCTGCCGTTGTCAGGATTCAGCTGGGACTCTGTTTCTTCTGCAGCTCTCTTTACAGCATACCTAGTGCATCTACACGTTTTCTCTTCGTTTGGGGGCATGAGCTGGCCTAAATAAGGATGTGCTTGTGTTTGAACATTAGGTACTGTGTGGTAATCCTTTTCTGCCACTGCACTGGCAAAAAAGAAGGAAAAACAAACACAAACAAAGCAGGAGAAGCTATGGAAATATGTTCACTGAAATTCTACTAAACAAACATATTTATGGGAATATCGATATCATAATCTATGCAAGATCTTGGAAACAACCCAAATATTCAATACGAGGGAGGGACTGCGGAAACCATGATACTGTGGACTATCATGCAGCCTGGGAGGCAACAAACGAACCAAAAACAAGGCACGGAGCTCAGTACGTGCGCTCTCATTTTATATATAAAGGTAAATACATATCGATATTCATATAGATATACACATATGTGGCTAGGCATACGTTGATAACGTCCTAGCAGGATTAATAATAACTGACTATGTTGGGAATTTCAAGTGGGAGGGAGACCTTTCATTGTATACGTTTACTTCTTCTTTTTCAGTACCTCTGGTGTTAAAAGTTCATATAACGTCCGCGTATTATTTTTTGTAAGTACTCGACAAAAAGAAGGCTGGCGTTTTCCCTCACCCCGATGGCTGCTGCACTCCACGCAGCCGCTCTCTGCCCTCTGTCAGACCCCGTCTTGTGCTTCGGCCCTGCAGGTGCAGAGCTTCCTGCGAGGGTGGCTGTGTCGCCGGAAGTGGAAGATCATCGTGCAGGACTATATCTGCTCCCCGCACGCCGCGAGCATGAGGACGAGGAACCAGATTGTGTTCGCCATGGTGGAGGCCGAGGCGGACTACGTCCACCAGCTCCACGTGCTGGTCAACGGCTTCCTCCGGCCCCTGCGGATGGCAGCCAGCTCCAAAAAGCCCCCCATCAGCCATGATGACGTCAGCAGTATTTTTCTCAACAGGTTTGTCGTCGCACAAACCAAAGTTTCAAGAGAGAAACTCATTTACATCTCTTAAAAGGCTTTTCTACGACAGGGCTCGTCAATTCACCTTAATGAGTTTCTGAGGTTGACTATAAGAACACTGTCATGGGTGTTCCGTTATTAGTCTAAATCCTTCCTATTTTGATCTTGAATTTTGGCCTATAGTGTTTTCCTTGCTACTTGACCTATGTTTTCTTGCCATTGTGTGTGTGTGCATGCATGGTAGGGATGGTAACTCCTCGTAAACTGAGGTGAATAGAGTGATTGAGGGAGCTTTACCTGTAATTATACAGAAATATTTTAGGGAGATTAAAACTAGCACCAGGTCTTGTAAGGTAATCCACTCGTGAAATAGTGATAGTGTCCTTACAGCTCAAGATCCATCAGTGAAGATGACCGGAAACCCCTATCCTCACTCACGTGGCTTGAAAAATGCAAACAACATAAAGCACCAGCCAATATGTACAAGTCACCTTCCCACCCTGTCTCTGTCGTCTTTCTTTCACATTTCTATTTGTGTTATATAGACCCGCCATTTTTTCCTAAGACAGGTCCAAGCAAGTATAAAAATAGTCTCATTAGCCCCATTCTTACACTAAACACAGTATATTTTAAATAACCCAAAGAGGACCAACACAGAGCCCTCCCGGGACTCCGACTCACAGCAACCCTGTGGTACTCGGTGAGCTTACCGTGCAGAGGACACAGCTGTGCTCGCTGGAGCTAAGGGAGACTTGAGGTACTTAGTGCTGGAGGAACTGCAGCATTCAGACTGGATTACAACTTGATGGGAGGAAAACAAAAATCTTCACAACCGAATCAATAGGTAGCATCGTGATAAAGAGAGGAAAGATTGAATTTGTCAAGGATTTCATTCCTTGGCTCCACAATCTATGCTCATGGAAGCAGCAGTCAAGAGACCAAAACAATGCATTGCATTGTGTAACTCTGCAGTACAAGAAAGCATTGGCAAGCAAGGATGTCACTTTGACAACGAATGTGGCCCTGACCCAAGCCATGGCATCATCAGTCACCGCAAATGTATATTGGACATCAAGCCAGGAAGACGGAAGAAGAACTGATGGATCTGAATTAGGTGCTGGTGAAGAATGTTGAAAGTACCAGGGACTACCAAAAGAACAAACCATCTTGGAAGAAGTATAGCCAGAACACTCCTTAGAAGCAAAGCATGGCGAGACCTTGTTGCATGTATTTTGGATGTACTGTTAGGAGAGACCAGTACCTGCAGAAGGACATCGTGCTTGGTAGAGAGGCAGCAAACACGCGGAAGGCCCCTGACAAGATGGAGGGGCACCATGACTTTACCCATGGGCTTAAACTTAGCGCTGGAACAGGGCTGAGCAGTGTTTCGTTCGGTTGCACGTGGGGTAACTCTGAGTCAGACAGACTCCACGACACCAGGCAACCACAAAGAGTACCACTATCGAAACATCTCGGGGTATAATGTTAAGTGAAAAGGGTACATATTTATTAATACTTGCTACCTAAAGAGTCTACCATTCATCCAGCAAAAAGAGGAAGGTCCTCCACAAGATGGGTTAGCACAGTGGCTGTGACAATGTGCTCAAGCACAGGAAACGTTATGAGGATGTGCAGGACCGGGCAGTGCTTCGTTCTGTTGTGCGTAGGATTGCTATGGGTCAGGCATTTACCTGTCAGTTTGTCATCCTGTAGTGGCCTGAGTGTGGCCTTATGCTGGACACGATGCTCCCGGGGTTTCAGCAGGATCGCCCATGAAAGACAGGTTTCCCTGGAGTGTTCACACTCAGACGGAGTAGGAGAAAGGACGAGGAAGTCCACTTCTGAAAACCAGGCACTGAAACCTCCTGGGAAACAACCGATGTGCTGCTGGACGATGAAGCTTGACTACTTCGATGTATTGCACAGCAGATTCGTCCAGTGCAATAGGTCAAAGCAGAGTCAAACTTCATGATGTGAGCGGGGAAAGTCTTTAGGATCTTTATTTGGTTACTGGGCATGATTCCAATTGAGAGAAATAGCTATAAACATGTATTAAGAATTGGAACATAGCATGTACAATGTGTGAATGTAGAAATATTGGATGCCATAAATAATGAAATGGAAAACAGAGATCAGTATCTTAGGCATCCGTGAGCTGAAATGGACTGGCGTTGGCCAGTTTGAATCAGACAATCATATGGTTTACTACTCTGGAAAGGAATGACATAGAATTGCCATAAAAAATAATAGTTCAATATCTGTGATAAGAGAATGCCCATGTGGCTGCAAAGAAGAGTAGTTATTCAAATGTCCTTACTATTATTCAAATTTACATATTGGGTTAGACTGAGTTTTGTAAAGAAACAAAACCAGTGACACTCATGTGTATGAGAAAGAACTTCATATCAAGAACAAATTTTATATTACTAAAGCAGTCCTACCCAGTCCAACGGAAGCCCATGGGTCAGATGCTAGTAAGAGACTCAGACTCACTCAGCTGCTGGTGGATGAAGGAGGAAGGTGAAGTTGGAAGCTAGGAGATCACAGAGTTCAGAGTCTCCTGCATCCCGGATCTGTAGGATAATGTTAACGTGCTGACAGCCTGATCACATGAAATGGTTAAACGGTAAGCAATTCTTTGGGGTACAGTGACTCTGGAGCCCTTGACTCCAGATGTGAGACACAGAACTCAGTCCAGCAAGAAAGCGACAAGCAAGAGGGAGCTCCGTTCTCCTCGGTGTCTATGATACAAAAAGGCCACGCCCCTAAGGAGCATAACCAGGCAAAGCCTGATTGAGCAGTTGGACTTCATTCCTACCTCTACACAGATGCCATTAAGGTGACATGAAATCTAAGTGTCACACAGTGTAACCATTAAAGCAAGTGATAAAAAAAATTGAAGAAATGTACCAACATCTTCAGTCTAAAATTGATCAAAATGTGTCAGTAATTTCTGGTAACTGGAGTTTGAAAGTTGGAAACAAAGAAGAATCAATAGTTGGAAAAGATGACTTTGGTGATTTAAAATGTTAGAGATCATATAATACAATTTTTCAAGATCAATGATTTCTTCATAGCAAATAACCCTTTTCAACAACATAGAAGGTGGTTATACACTTGAACCTCACCAGATGAAGTAGACAGGAAAAATTAGGTTATATCTGTGGAAACAGACCATAGAGAACTCAGCGTCAACAGCCAAAAATAAGGCCGGAGGACGACTGTAGGACAGATTGCTCATATGCAAGTTCAGATTGAAGCTGAAGAAAAACTTAAAAGTTTAGCCAAAATACAATCTGAAGTATGTGCTATTGGACTTGAAAACCATCTTCAGACTAGAATTGACACATCGTATACAAGGACCCAGGACCAGGTGGGTGTGGGATAATACCAGGAAAACCTTAAATGGAGAAAGCAAAAGGTCAGTGGAAAGGCAGCAAAGGAGAGACTCTTGAACTTGCTCTAGAAAGCAGAAGAGGTGAAACGACGGGAAGAAAATCCCAAAGGCCAGCTTGAGAAGACCAAGGAAGGTGCAAGTCTGCACTGTGCGATGCCTGGAGTTAGGAGATCAAGGGAGGAACACACTCAGCGTACTTCAGGCTGAAAGAATTGAGGGGGGTAATGAAGCTTCACGTTGCAATATGGAAAGCTTCTATGGGCAAAACATTGACTGCTGCAGGAGGCTTGGAAAGCAGGTAGAAGGAACAATCAGTGTCACTGTGCCAAAAAGAATTGCTCACCATTCAGCCATTGCATATGATCAAGAACCAATAGTCTAGGAAGAAGTCCAAGTTGCACTGAAGGCACAAGTGACAATCAAGTCTCCAGGAATTGAAGGAATACCAAGCAATTACAATGCTTCAACAAATTGATGCAGTGCTGCAGGTTCCCACTATTCTATGCCAAGAAACATGGAAGACATATTTCTGCCCATTCCAAAGAAAGATAACCCATCATAATGTAGAAATTATTGAACCATGTCAAAATTATCATGTGCATGTAAAATGTTGCTGAAGATAATTTTTAGATGGGTGCACTCGTGCATCTACAGGAGCTGCCAGAAATTCAAGTGAGATTCAGAAGAGGACACGAGGAGTATCCTTACTGATCTCAGTGGATCTTGACTGAAAACAAAGAGTTCCACATGCTTATTTGTACTTTTTAAATTATGTAGTGGTATTGGACTGTGTGGTACATAGAAAATTATGGATAACATCGCAAAGTAGAAGGGTTTCCAGAACACTTAATTGTGCTCATGCACACAGACTAAGAGGATACTGTGTGGTTTGAAATCAGGAAAGGGGTGCATCAGGGTTGCACCCTCTGCCATACTTATGCAATCTCTATGCTGAGCAAGTAACCCCAGAACTAGACGGTGTAAAGTAGCATGCGGTATCAAGATGGGAAGAAGTCGGTGCATTAAGAACCTGCCTTATGTGGCTGATACAACTTTGCTTGCTGAAAGGGAAGCACTTACTGTTGAAGATTGAAGACTAGTCTTCAGTATGGATTACAGCTCATTGTAAAGGAAACATACTTCTCACAACTGGACTAATAAACAGCATCATGATAAACAGAAAAGATTGAAGTGGGCTTTAGTTTTATTAGGACCCCAATCAACACACCTGGACACAGCAGTCCAGAAATCAGAGAATGGCTCTCACTGGCAAATCAGCTCCCCAAGGCCTATTGAAAGTGTTAAAGAGCAAAGATGTCACTGTGAGCACTAAGGTGAGCCTGGCCCAATTATAAGTTGGTGAAGAATATAGAATATGATGATGAGGAACCAGTGAAGGAAACTGAGAGGATCTGTCAATATTATAGGATGAGAATCATGAATGAAACTGGAGTGTCTTAGACGCTTGGGGTAGAGGGAATGACCATTTTGCCAAAAGGAGCTATAGATCCAATAAGATGATTATGAAGGAATAGTACTAATTTCTTAGTTTCCTAAGGCTGTGTGTTAGTCTGGGTAGACTAGAAAAACAAATCCATAGACATGTGTATCAGAAAGAGATTTATATACAAGAGCAATTGAATATTGAGAAAACATCACAGCCCAGTCCAGATCAAGTCCTTTAGTCCGATATTAGCTCATATGTCTGATACCAATCTATGAAGTCCTCTTCAGACTCAAGAAACGCCTGCAATGATGCCAAATGCAGGAAGATCACAGGCCAATAGGTGGGAAGTCTTGTGGATCCAGTGGTGTTGTAAGCATCTCAGCTCTGGCAGGGGTCTCCACTTGCCTCCTCCAGCTTCAGGCCTTAGCGTAGTTCCATGTGTCTTGTCGGCTGCAATGTCTCCCAGGGCATGAGCCCCCATCCTGCCTCCAGTGAGCTCTTTATCTCCTTTTGCCTCCAAATGAGGTCATCGAGCTGTCGCCTGATTGACAGGCTAAACTCCACCCCTTCACTTTTAATCCTCTCAAATTGACAACAGATTATATAACTACCACAGGCTACTTTCACAAAGTACTGCAAGGTAGATGGCTTGTAACAACAGGAATTTGCTGTTTCACAGAATAGATGCAAGAAATATGATTCAGGAGGGCCATGGTCCATCCCAAGTCTCTAAGGAACATTTTTTCTTGTCTCTTCTCCTTTCTGGTCATCTTGGACTTTCTTTGGCTTTTAGCTGCAGTATTAAGTCCAATTAAGTCCAACGTGACATTCTTCTGTTTCTTCTCTTCTTTTATAAGGACCCTATACATATTGGATTATAGCTTAACTGACAACATGTCCAAAAGCCCTATTTCTAAACAAGTTCACGATCTCAGGTACCAAAGGATATAGCGTCAGTTTATCTTCCTGAGAGCCACAATTCAATTCATGACACATGTCCCATGTATATAGCTAGGGAGTAGGGGAAATAGCTGACAGTGAGAATGGGAGAGGAATGACTGGAGTTAGAGAAGAGAGGAGAAAAGAGCCAAGAGATTGAGGAATACATGGATTAGGGAAAAGGAGTATGACTGCTAAGGATCCCTGGTGGTGCCCAATGTTTAAAGGGTTATTTGCTGACCCAAAGCTGGTGATTCAAACCTGCCACCAGCTCCATGGGAGTAAAGACTTGGGGATTGACTCTTAAAAGGATGAGAAAACCCCAAACCAAACCCACTGCCATCGAGTTGAGTCCAGCTCGTAGTGATCCTAGGGGACAGAACAGCGCTGCCCCTTGGGGTTTCTGAGACTCTAAGTCTTGTGGGAACAGACAGCAGCATCTTTCTCCTGCAGAGCTCTCAGTGGACTCAGATAGCTCACCCTTTGGTTAGCAGCTCAGTGCCACGCCATCAGGTCCGTTACAGCAAACCATATAGGGCAGTTCTACTCCAATGTACGGGGATGCTACGGAGCAGTAAGTATCCGTATTAGGCTATGGCCTTGACTTTATAGCGAGCCCTGACGGAATCATTCTGAGTTTTTCGTTAGCCATTTTGAGGTGCATGGGTGAAGGTGCAGAGTGGGTGGGGGGTATAGTTTACTTGGACTGGGTGTTGTGTGAGATCAATAAGATGAACTGAGAGAAGAACAGAGGAGTTGAAGGCTCTAATGTTGAACCCAAGAATCTAAAGTGTGTAGAGAAGAGTGATGGTGTGAGGGGGCTTTTCACCATTGAAAAAGTGGATTTAGTTACTGGTGAAGTAAAATGAATTTGGGGGCCAGAATTCTAAAGGCAGTGAACTGAAAAATAAGAGATAGGCAGAAAATGGTGTTCTTGCAACTGAAGAACGGTGTGCAATTATTCACAGTGATACGGTCTCGTTAAAGGAGTAGGGACTAAGGACAGCAGAGGACAAAAACTTGGGGGTGAGGAATTCAAAGACTAACGGGGTCGGCATATTAAGGATCACGTGTATGTCAGCGTCACCAGGAATGGCATCAGAAACAGTGAAATTAGCCTCTACCTCTGCCTTCGATGCTTTTCCCAGTTCAGCTAAGGGTGGAAATTAAATTCATCTTAAGAAGCCTAGATGCGAGAGAGCCTGGGAAGTGTGATTTTAGCTCTCCACTCTCCTCACTGAGAAGGACTGTGTGGACATGGCAAGACTTGGCTGCAATAGCTACCAATATCTACTAGATGCAGTAGAAATCTCTAAACAACAGACATTGACAAAATTTCTGTATAAAGAAAAAAAATTAGAATCACTACGAAGTATCTATTCTATTTCAAGGATCTCTGGGAAATAGACCATTTTCTTGAGATAGCTTGTAATGGGATTTTACTTGTACACCTGGGCTCTCATGTGGATGAATTATTCTGTATTTGATGATGTCATTGGGTTGTTTTAGAGAAAGCCTCAAAGGATTATTCCTGTAGCCTACTTCTTCATAAGGACAAGGCAAGTCATAGTTTGACTTTGCTAACCACTCTCCTTGACCCTCTCAGGAACTTAGAACTTGTATACGATTCTCTTTTTATTGCTCCTGTACAGGCTCTGCCTTTTAAAAAAGGTGTTTACATTTCTTCGGTGGCTTAGGAGAGGTTACAGTGGGATTCTGCCAAGTCTTTGCTGGGGGGAAGTTGTCGGCTAGAATCAATTCTGAAGAAAAAAAAGGAATATTAAATTTAATATTCTCACTATCAATTCAAGTGTTACAGTCTCCACAGTAGAGAGTTCCTTTTCTAAATCGGGGAAGAGGGTTAGATAACAATGATTCGATGCTTGCTGTCCTCTTAGCTCAGAGTATTTGGGGGCTTACGGTTGCCTGAAGGATAAATTGCTTAGCAGAGACTAGAATGGTCCATGCCAGTATGGGTGTGGCAGTTAGGGTTCTCTGGCATATGTATCCTTTAAGACAGTCTACGACTGAGAAGACTTCCTTCCCAAAATACGCACTGTACCCTTACTATGTTATTTCCTTTTATAACAGTGAAACAATTATGTTTCTTCATGAAATATTTCATCAAGGACTGAAGGCAAGGATAGCTAACTGGCCTACTTTAATTTTAGGTAAGTGCATTCTGATACAAGATTTTCCCTTTAGTGTGGCTACAGAGAAAGAGGAGAGTGAGAGAAAAAGAGAGAGAGAGAGAGAGAGAGAGAGAGAGAGAGAGAGAGAGAGAGAGAGAGAGAGAGAGAGAATAAAGCCAACAGTTGACTCTGTCATGCAGCCCATGTCCCCGTGTGTGTCAGGGCAGAGCTGGGCTCCACCGGGTTTCTAATGCCCGATTTTCCCCAGACAGGTAGCCAGGTTTCTCTGGGGACCTGGTGCCTCTGGGTGACTTGAATGTCTAACCTCTTGGTTAGCACCCAGATTAAGTCATGATTGCCCCCAGGACTCTCTGAGCTGTTCAGCCTAAACTATATTAGTTTCCCTGTTAACTTGTAAGTCCCCTTAGCTACTGGGGACTCTGTCTCCATGCTCCCTGGGCTCTGCCCCAGTGGCTTTGACCCCCCTCTGTGTTCCCTACATTCCATCAAATCAGTCATCAGGCATCTGCCCTGGGTCTCTACGCCTGCTTGACACCCAGCGCTAGGAGCCACTCTGCAAGTCCGCAGGGTGTCTGTAATCTCTCCCTTTACTGCAATCATTTGCCACCAGGCAAGAGAAACTGCCATGTTTACTTCTTCTTTGTAGCCGATCTGTTCGACATTTTGCTTCCCATGCTGAACATTTATCAAGAATTTGTGCGTAATCACCAGTACAGCCTCCAAGTGCTCGCCAATTGTAAGCAAAACAGAGATTTCGACAAACTCTTAAAACAATACGAAGCTAACCCTGCCTGCGAGGGGAGGATGCTGGAAACCTTTCTGACCTATCCAATGTTCCAGGTAAATCACGCGTGCGGCACTGTCTCGGTTCTTTGTCCCCGTTCACCATTCTCAACCCACAGTGTTGTGACCAGTGAGAAGTGTATCCCCTAAAAGGCACGTCTATTGTCTTGAACTTGGCCCTGAGGTGAACCCATATCGGTCACACACACACCCTCTTTCCTCCATGAAAGAGTGCCAGGTACTTTTGAAGCAGAGCCATCGGGAATGAATGTTTGAAAAGCAGCACTTTTTTTTTTTCTTTTACAAAATGATCCCACACAGACCTCTTCCATGGACTCTCCTCCTCCAGTGTGTTTAAAAATATTATTAGGTTTACAGAAATAGGATGCTGTGCAAATGTGCCAGTTTATGCTGGTTGCATAAAAGGTCCCCAGGACTGCGGTGGCTGCTGGGAAGGGCTTGCATTTCCAGTCCAGCCTCCTGCTCTGTTGGGATTGCTGTGGATACGGCTTGGGTTGGAGTTCTGGGTGCTCAAGGGGCCCTCCCCAGTCACAGTGCCTGTGGAGATTGCGGCATCAGAAGGCACTGGCTGGACCAGGGGCTCCTGGCATCTAGTCTGGCTGTTGCAATGAGGCCAGGCCTTGCGCTGATGTTCCCTTGTGGGGACCAGAGCAATCCAAGGAGGGGACACCTGCATTCTTTCCAGGTCTTGGTTATAAGGAGCTCTTGAGTGAGAGCTGAGGATTCCGACATGTACATGGGATCACCTGATTCTTTTGAAAAGTGTTCGTTTTGTTTTTTTCAAAAAAGCATTGAGTGTTGTTCGCATTTTGGAATGTATGGGGCTTCTGGCCAGGCCTGGAAATTGCTGTGCGGTAAACTGCGCGAATCTTGTGTGTTCTGGTTACTGACGGTGCTCTGTCCTCGGACACAGGAATCTCTGACCTGGTTAATCATTGCACCACCCCAGAAAGGAATGTTGCTCTGGCTTGTAACTGATTGTTGTAAACTTTGTCCATCTGGCTTGGAACCCTGGAAGTCACCTTAGAGGTTGAGTTTGATTTTAAAAAAGCAAAATGATAACACTTGAAACCACTTCAGTGTCACGAAACTCTGTAACGTTGCTGCTTTCTCTTTCTCTTCCCCGTGGAACTGAATTATTTGAGCGCTTTACCTGTCTAAGGCATTATTTCACAAGGAAAAAAATCATGAAAAAAAATCCCTGCTTTGTAAAATTGTAATTTAAGATTTATTTAAAGTTAAACAACTTTTGCGTAATATAATGTTCTTCGGAGATGTTATTTGGCTCTGACAATTACTTCTAGGGAATGATTAAATAGGAGCCTTGATTTTATATCTGTGAAGAGTTCAGCTACTGACCAAAAGGTTGGTTGTTCAAAGCTGCCTAGTGGCTCTGCGGAAGAAAGATGCAGTGGTCTGTTACTGTAAAGATGAACTAAAACTCAAACTCATGGTTATCGAGTTGATTCTGCCTCATACAGACCCTCTGGGACAAGGTAGAAACGCCCCTGTGGGTTCTGAGGTGGTAGCTCTTTAGGGGAGTAGAGAGTCTCGTTTTTCTTCTGCTGAGTGGCCAATGGTTTCCAACTGCTGTTTGGAGTTAGCAGCCCAATGTGTAACCACTACGCCATACAAAGGTAGAGTTTTTTGTTGCTTTTTTAAAGACATGGACCATCTGGAGAGGGCCCTAGATCTCCAGACAGTTAAAGTCTTTCCAGGTGCAGCCCAACCCCCTCAATCCTCACTCTCGTGGCAGAGCTGCGTTTGCACCTGGTTGAAGCAACCAAACACGGTAGACTGTCAGAACTTGGAAAGGTGGTCTCATTTTTGGGTTACTTTGCTATCACATCTCCCTTCCTCTCCTCTGGAATTTAACCCCTATATCAGTGACTAGATGATTCTAAGGGGATTGGGCTGGTTCTGGAAGTTTGGTTCCAAAGCCTGGTATTTGCCTGAAGGCTCAGATATTGAAGTTCTTTGTTTCTCCCAAAATAGGGCAACCAAAGAGCTCAGCTTCTGAGATTTGGGGAGGAGGCCTGGTAGGGTG